GCCGATAAAGGTCCGTATAGTTAAAGCTGTGGTTTTCCCAGTAGTGATGTATGGAAGTGAGAGCTGGACCATAAAGAAGGCTGATCGCCGAAGAATTGATGCTTTTGAATTATGGTGCTGGAGGAGACTCTGGAGAGTCCCATGGACTGCAAGAAGATCAAACCTCTCCATTCTGAAGGAAATCAGCCCTGAGTGCTCACTGGAAGGACAGATCCTGAAGCTGAGGCTCCAATACTTTGGCCACCTCATGAGAAGAGAAGACTCCCTGGAAAAGGCCCTGATTTTGGGAAAGATGGAGGGCACAAGGAGAAGGGGACAGGTGGATGGATAGTTGGATAGTGTTCTCGAAGCTACCAGCATGAGTTTGACCAAACTGCGGGAGGCAGTGGAAGACAGGAGTGCCTGCCGTGCTCTGGTCCATGGGGTCACAAAGAGTCAGACATGACTGAACGACTAAACAACAACAACAACAAATACTAACGCTTCAAGAGGTTATGGCAGACATGTCCAAAATCTGTTGGGGGGGCTAATCATCTGGCCCGCAGATCAGTTTAATCTGGCCCCTGTCGCTAAAATCCTAAAAAATCCTAACAACTTTAATCCTAAAAAAAGGGTCAACAACTTTGGTTGGCCCTCACGGCTCTTCACTTCATCAAATCTGGCCCTCTTTGGAAAAAGTTTGGACACCATTAGGTTATGGTGTTTCACCGCTGTGGCAACTCGTTTGTCGCTGAATCGTGGAACCTCTCCGGCATGACACCATCCCCACGATAAACAGGGTTGCAACGTTTTTGAAGAGAATTAGGTGTCTTTCCTGTTTTTCGCACCTTCAAAGCCTGCTTCCCCATGTGCACAGCATCATGAGGCTATGCAAATAAGCACTGAGACTCTCCCTGCAGCTACAGCAGAAGTGGAGGAGGAAAAGAGGCTTGGCGAGGGAGGAGGACCTTAGAGCTGCAGACAAGAGGAGAAACGGCTGAGCAAAAAGGAGGCACTTCTGAGTAAACTCTGTCCCCACTGCCACTTTTGGTGAAAGAAATTCCCGTAGACTTTCAAGAGCTGTGCACTTTTAAGAAAGCAATCATCAGGGCTGCAACAACACCCAAAACTATTAAGCAGGAACACCACTGGCTTCATTCCTGCAGCGTTTCCAATGCACATAGTTGAGCATCATTTCAGTTTAACCAAAGTTTAAAAGAACTCTTTTTAAGCACTGGTAACAGCACGAAATTTAGAAAGCTCTGCTCTACCTTTCACAACCCTTGGTGGCCCGCCATTGGGCCTCCAAAAATTAAGGATAAAAGCCCATCCAAACTGGACATAGCGTCCCATTCATACATCGAGACTTTTCTTTGCGAACATGGCTACAGAACCCGCGACTCTCCTTCATGTTATGGCGACTCCTATCCAACCTTGCTCATTGCACACTGAATCTAGGAGCCACGGAAGCAGAATATGGCCCAGCTGTTAGCAAGCGTGAAAGCAATCTCCATAGACACATTGGGGGTTTTTCACGCTTCACGGGGCGCGCAAGGAATCCTGGGCAATGTAAATCAGCCTCAGCGACCCCCTGCGCAGGTCCGAGGAGCCGGGCGGGTGGGATCGGGGTAAGGAAGTAAAGTCTCCTGGGATCGGTGGATTTTAGACTTGCCGGATGTAGAGGAGCTTGCTTCAGAGCAAGCGTGCGAATTACAACGCCGATCGCTTCCCCGCACTCAGTATTGTAGAGTTGGAAGAGACCCCAAGGGTCATTTAACTGAATCCCCTTACATTTCTCTCTCTCTTTCTGTTCATATATATCTATATCTACATAGAGAGAGAGAAATTAATTCTGAATGAACTGGTGCATTTTCGGGGGAGAAGGCAATCTTGGGCTGCAACACCACCCAAATTTACTCAGCAGGAACCCAACTCTATTCCTCCGTACAAAGTTTCCAATGCACACAGGCGGAAGGAATCCTCACACGCGGAAGGTCATTTGCAGAGCACCAAGACTGCAGGCGGGGACGGTTCCTTTATGCAGGCGCCCTCTCAAAACAGTTGGCGGAGGAGAAAGCGCTTTCTAATTACAGAATTAAAGGGGTGCGCGAGAATGAACGCCAAGAAAACTGGAGGGCAGGCAATCGGGATTCACTCTTTGACAAGAAGCATCCTGCTAAATAAATTGCAGTGCTATAAAATATAATTTCTTGCTTCCCCAACAGCCGCTAAAATCAAATTTAAGTGGAGCGGACGATCTTTTCTGATACAGTGGTGCCCCGCAAGACGAATGCCTCACAAGATGGAAAACTCGCTAGACGAAAGGGTTTTCTGTTTTTTGAGTTGCTTCGCAAGACGAATTTCCCTATGGGCTTGCTTCGCAAGACGAAAACGTCTTGCAAGTTTGTTTCCTTTTTCTTAACACCGTTAATACAGTTGTGACGACTTCGAGGAGCAACTCATAGAACGCAGTGTACATAGTAGACTTTTTTTGAGGTTTTTAAAGACTTTGGTGATTTTTGAAGCTTTTCCAAAACTTCTTTTGCAGCCATTTGGTAAGTTAAGCTTTTAAAACTTTTGGGGGGGGGGTTGGATTTTGGGTTGGGGTGTTTGGAATTCAAGGACTTGGTGTTGGGGAGGGGTTTGCAAGAATCTGGAAGCTTGTGTGTTTTTTTCTGCATTTTTATGATTTTCTGTGACCATTGGGGCACTCTGCTGTTTTTTTAAAAAAAATTATGGATTTGAATTTATTTGTGCTGGGTGGCTGGGGGAACAGTTGGGGAGGGGTTTGCAAGAATCTGGAAGCTTGTGTGTTTTTTTTCTGCATTTTTATGATTTTCTGTGACCATTGGGCCACTCTGCTGTTTTTTAAAAAAATTTCTGGGTTTGAATTTTGAAATGCTCTTTACAGTATGTGTGACTTTAAAGAGCACTTAATAAACTCTTGTTGTACCAAATTTGGCTTTGTTTGGACTTTTTTTGATCATAGGAACGCATTAATTGATTTTCAATGCATTCCTATGGGATTTCGTGCTTCGCAAGACGAAAAATTCGCTAGACGAAAAAATTCGCGGAACGAATTAATTTCGTCTTGCGAGGCACCACCGTACCTACAACCTTCCACTCAAATACTTTACTTTCCAATTCAGAATTTTCCGAACTTCTCATGTAAGCGATCACTTCTACTATAAATTCCAAGATTAAAGGCTCCGCCTTCTAGGTTTACTGAAAGCACGAAAATCACAAAAAAACCTACCCTATATATTATAACTATTGCTTGCCCGCCATTCGGCCTCCAAAAATTGGCTTAAACGAGAGGTCCCAACCCACAGACCTCAGCGTCCCAAAATCACACATCGAAACACACATTCCTGCTTGGCAGGGGGTTGGACTCCATGGCCCTTCTGGTCTCTTCCAACTCTATGATTCTATGAAACCCCTTCCTTTGCGAACGTAACTACAAAACCGGCGACTCTTCAAGGACTTATGGTGACTCAATTTTTGGGATTGTTCATTGCCCACTGACTCCAGGAGTCACTGGAGCAGAATACGACTCAGCTGTTCGCAAGCGTGAAAGAAATCTCTAGAGAAGCATTACTATTGGTTTTCTCTCCCCTCCACGGGCGCGCAAGGAATCCTGGGCAATGCAAATTAGCCTCTGCGACCCTCTGCGCAGGTCCGAGGAGACGCGGGGGTGGGATCGTGGTAAGGAAGTAAAGGCACCTCCCTGCACTGGGCCCGATCCGCAGTTAGGTGGATGTTAGACCTGCCAGATGCAGAGGAGCTTGCTTTAAAGCAAACGTGCGAATTAAAACGCCGATCGCTTCCTCGTAATCCTTGCAGGTCATTATTACCCTCCAATCGGTTTATTTCTAATGCATATTTTAATATTGTAACAATACTTGTTTATTCACCCACCGAGGCTGCGCTTCGTCCGCTGCCAGAAAGGGCCTTCGAGGACCGGTCCTCTTTTGCCAGCAGAACCCGCGATGGCCACCAATTTGGATGGCTTTAAAAGAGGATTAGTCTAATTCATGGAAGAGAGAGGGATGCTAGGCGGGCCATTGCAAGCACTTCTTACGTAGCCGTGGGGGAGAGGGCGCTTGTTCTTTCAGGGATCCCTCATTAAAAGTGCTTAGCTTCCGTACTGTGTCCTTGTTACAATTTTTGTGTTTCCAGGAGCACGGATTGATACCGCCGCTTTCTTACTACATGTTAATAAACTTATATTTCATTTTAGAACAAGGCATGGCCCACTCTCTGGCTTTCCAAAACTGGGGAAGTCCTACAAAGGAATGTCCTCCATCCCATTTACCAACTAGCCAAGTAGATTTTTGCGGGTGTCTCGTAAGAATGAGGGTCGCTTGTGCAGCGTTTGCCGAGCTTGGCTAGCCAGATTTTTGGGGGGACTACAATTCCCATCATCCCTCGCTAGCAGGACCAGTGGTCAGGGATGATGGGATTTGTAGTCCCAAAACAGCTGGAGACTCAAGTTTGGGGCACACTGCATTATGGCAGTTTCCCACGGTAACTGCTCGTTTCACGTAGTCGCGCCCTTAATAAAGCAGGACCCCGTTCCCACAAAACGCGGTCTTCCCGCTGGCAAGAACGCAAAAAACTCCCCGGAATAGTTTCATTTCACTTTCCGCGTCGCAGAGCATTATGGGATATGACAACGATTACTGTGCAAGACTTTCCGGGCCCCTCCAAGAGGGCAGTATTTCGCATTCAGGTTTACTAAACAAGTCATTTACGAGGCTTACTCCTTCGTAACCATGGATAGGGACCCGTTTCTCTTAAAAAAAAAAATTGAAAAAATTCGCCGTCCTTCTTATCAGCCGTGCCCCATTCCAAAATGGGCGCTGAAGCGACACCCGTCCTACTGCCCGGGCAATCTGCCTTCAGCCAAGATGGTCGCTTGGGGCAGGGAAGATCGCGATTAAGAGAGAGAGATGGGGAGGGAGGGAGGAGTGGGCGTGGTTTGCATATTACTTATTCCCACGATCGGGGATTGGCTGCCTCGCTTCTAATCAGGGGGACGTCGAAGAAGGCCGCGTTGCTACGTTTCTCTCCAGGCCTGCTCCCCGCCTCAGCCGAGCTTAACGGTTGGCCGGAGGACGCGAGGCTGCCCTTTCGTTGCGATTGGCTTCGGCGCCGTCACTCCACCCTTCCGCCCGCCCCCCGCCTCCCCCGCCCCATCCTCCTCCTCCTGCTCCTCTACAGTGTCTCTCGGCTCTCTCGCTGGCTGGGCCTGAGGCAACAGCCGTTTCGCAGGCCGCGTGAGGGGAGGGGGCTCCGCGCTACTGCTGCCATCGCCACCGCCGCCTCTGCGACAGGCCGGGGTGATGCTGGAACCCAGGAGGGAGCCGGCGCGGCGCTGAGGAGGAGGCGGCAGAGAGATGCGCCGGCCTTGCAGCTCCGCCAGCCTCCGCGGCCGCCTCCAACGGCCCTGAGCCGCCGCTTAGTAGGTGAGCCCGCCTGGGCGGACTAGACCGAGGGGGGGGGGGTCGCCGTGAGAGGAAAAGAGGGAGCGGGGAGGCCTGGCCGGCCGGCCCAACAACCCACCCTTCCCCTCAGGAGGGCCCCGTCGTGGGGAGGGCGACCTGCCTGGGCTGCCACTTCCCGCCCCCGCAGGGAAATGTTAACGGGACGGGAGGGAGGCGGGCAAAACACCCCCCGCCACCGCCCCCTCCAAAAAATAAAATGAAAAATGCAAAGGCTTTGCAGCTTTAAAGGGCATAATGCTCCTGACTGTACGGTGGCCATGAAAGATAAACTTTATACTGTACTGCGGAAGGCCGCCTTTCATTCATTCATTTTGCAAGTTGGAAAGGTGAGGAGGGGGCTTAATGTGCAATTGCCGCCTTGCTGCCTCTGGTCTTGAGCACGAAGGGGCTGGAGGAAGCTGAAATAATGTCCGCGGGGTGGGCGGAACTGCACAAATATCCTTTCCTCCGTTTCGCTGGCGAGTCCGTTTTTGTATTATATTTATTGGAGGTAGGTGGGGGTGGCCGTTATTTTTGTGGCCTCTAAAGCCTTGATCTGACATCTTTAGGGAAGTTTTTAATATTTAATGCTGTATTGTTTTTAACACTTGATGAGGAGACTCAGCAGATGGGCGGGGTATAAATACATTATTATTATTATTATTATTATTGATCTGCACGGTCGGTGTGGGAATGAGTTGCAGTCAGATGCATGTCAAGATTTTAGCAGGAGTCCTTAGTAGGGTTTTCTTAGGGCTCTCCTATAAATGTCCAGGTTTTCCTTGCTTTGAAATTCAATATCGGCAAGTGTGCTCCAGCTAGTTTCTTCAGAGCTGGTAGCATGCTTTCCCCAGAGGTGGTTATGGTTATTCCAGGGGTGGGTCCTGCAGTGGATGGGTGCCCATTCCATCCTTAATAGTAGCCTGCTCTTTCCTTAAAATCACCCCAAGCCTTATTGACCTGTTCAGATACTGCATTAGATGAGTTCACAATCATTGCAACTGATAACTCAATATGTAATATTGTTACCAAGTAGGGTATGTAAGAAATGGTTGTAATGAATAGATAGTACAAAAGAATGAAAAATCCATCCGAATGTAAGAAGCTGCTTTATGCTGGTTAAAGCTATTACCCTGTCAAGCCCAGATTTCTTATTCAGCCTAGCAGCAGCTTGGAGAATTTGTCCCTTTCCCAGGTTTGCTGAGATTATTTAGCCAGCACTTTAGTACTGTACACACAAAGCATGGGCTTTGGCACTGAGATCTAGTTGCCCCCTATTGTGGTTCTGTGCTTGACAGGATTGGTCTTCTATTGTATTCTTCTCAGCCATGGATAAACTGAAGGTGACTTCAAATGTGATGGATTTTGTGCCCCTAAGCCCTGCGGTGTAGGGAGAAATGTGCATATAGCATGCATATTTTTTAATACAGTGATTAGATATAACAAACTGGATGTGTATGAACTTGAATGGGGAGGCTGCAGCCATTTTCAATGGCATGGGTCTGTGATTGTTGCACACCGCTACATGGAGTTTGTATTATAGTACTGCCTGTACAAAATTTGTCCTGCTAGAAGCAGTCTTGGATAAGTCACTTTGTTCAGTCTGTCCCATTATCTGTAAGACTGATACCTCAGAGCAGGGTAGTATCTTGAGAATGACAGAGTTGTTGTGTTCAAGTTCTCTGTACATGGTGCTGTATTAAAGACTGCTATATTAATGCTTAATGCAACTTTTTTTGTACTATGCTCTTTTAATATGTGGTTTTTTTGTAGGTGGGTTACTGGGTTGTTGCTGTTTTTATTTTTATAATGTATTTCATGGTTTTATATTTTGATTTTATTTTGTAAAGCGCCTGGGACCTCCGTGTATAGGGTGGTATATAAATTAAAACATAAATAAATAACCCTACCCAGTATTATGTGAACTTTTAAACTGAGTTAGCATGTAATCTCACTTTAACATGAGCCTTAAAGTGTGATGAAATACAAATTTATAACCAGTTTACTAACTATGTGATAGGAGAATCTAATTCTTCTGTTTGATTGTAAATAAATAAAAGTTTAATTTGAAGTACTGCTATATTCTCTTGGTCATGTTGCCAGGTATGTGTATTGGATAACAGTCTTACTTTTTTTAATAAAAACAAACCTTGTGAAGTAGGTATGTTCTCTCCCCCCCCCCCCATTTAATCTATCAGTTATTTTTATTTATTTATAGGCCTTCTTCCAAGGTATTTCAGAATGCATTAAAATGACAAAATATTGCAAACATAAAATAATGATGTACAGCACAACTAAAAATAGAATTGCAGCCTTGGGTTTGGAAACCAATTACGTATATGATTATGCCTGATGTCTAGATCTAATTGCTCAGAGCCTTATAAGCCAATATATTTACTCAGAAGCAGGTTCATTGATTTCATTGTGACACACTTGCATATGAACACATGAACCTGCCTTAAACTATCAGAGCATTGGTCCACCTCACTGACTATTGCCTGCTGCTGACTAGCAGTGACTTTCTAGGGTTTAAGTGTACATTGGCCTTAGAAAGAAATAAGTAAAAATGTTGTGTCAGGAAATATGTTCCATTATAAAACCTTTACCTTAAGACACAGTGCTTAGTCAAGCAAAACAGCTTTCCTAGTTCAATTTTATCTTTGTAGTGTATATGCATACAATACTGACTTTGGTTTTAGGTCTCTTTCACACAAGATGGCTTCACAGGCATAACCAGGAGGGAACATGATGCATGATATTTCTAGGATAAAAATATCCAGGAAATGCTTTCACCCCAAGACAACCTGAACTCTTAATGAGGAGCATGATGATTGCTTTTCTTGCAGATTACCATGCAAAATAAATTGTTCATTCTGGGTCACCTGTAGGACAGTGAAATAGAGCAATGTGGAAGTGCCCGGAGGAAATACCCATTTGTGCAAAAGCACATCCGGCTTTTTAGTCACTAAGACTTCGGCCAGGAAATTCTTCATGTGAGTGCTGGAATGTTTTACAAAATTTCATAAATTGCAAACGAAAAATGTTCATAGACAGTAATATCTGTAGATTTGTGGAACACTTTTAATATCCTTAAATTTTTATATACACAAGCATGTCACAATAAATTTAGGACATTAGATATTCTTGAATGAAGATCTCCCTGAAGAAGAGGAGGAATCTTTCGCTGTGGATCTGTCATAGTGAAATATGTTGTAGATCACCTTCCTGTGTATATATTTCAGTTTGTGAGAGTTTAGTATTGACATAGTTTTTCATTAAAACTGTCAAAGGGGAACAGAGCAGGGCATTCTCTAAATTAACTAGGTTGCTGGGAGCCTTATGAATACTTAACACAGTAGAAATTGCATTGTTTCCCTTTGTTCTCTCTGTTTACCGCATGTATGTAGTTGGAGACTAGTACTGAATTAGTCCTGGAAATATTGTAGAGAATTCAGTGCAGCCATGAGCTAAGATTACTGAGTTGTTTTATATAACACTGGACAAGTTGTATGCAAAGTGTTTCAGATTATTTTCCTTTCAGAATTAAAACAGTATTTCCTAGAAGGCCAGGTAATTCTGAGGAAGAGATGTGTTCAATGGCTTGGCACTTGATATACTATATTTAAATTTATTGAGGTTAGGCAAGTAAGTCTACACTGCTGTCCTTTTATGGTCATGTAACAGATTTTCACTCCAAATACTAAAACTATTGTGTTAATACTTAGTTTTTGGTCGAGACCCTAACTGTGCTAGCTGGATAGAAACTTAAAGGACATGGGTTGTTAGTGTTTGGCTGTTCTCATCAAAACATTCTGACTGAAAGTTTCAGGCTTAGTTCAGCTGTAACATTGAAACTTTGCTATTAAATCCTTTCTATAGCCCACATAATATTTTAAGCCTAGTCAGCCTTGTAACAACATTTTATCAGTACGTGGCAAGCTAAGTTCATGTCTCTTCGTGGCTGAGAATGGATTTGAACCCAAAGCCAACATACTAGCCACTGATTGAACACAAAATGTGATCCTGAGAGTAGTTACAGACTTTGATAATAGTTCTTAAAGCCAGTGGGGATTTACATTTACATTTACCTGGTAATATTGGTCAGCAGTTTGTTATTAGCAGACGTTTGGGTTACAGAAGTTGCACCGACAGCTGACTTGGGTATACTTGCTACATTTCTACTTTGCTCATTCCCAAGTCCTTCACTGCTGAATTGTCATATTTCATGATCCTTAGTTTGTCAGAAGTAGACTGTGTATTTTAAAAAAATACACTCTAAATCACCCTTCTCCAATGCGGTGTCTTCCAAATGTTCCAGGCTCAATTCCAGCCAGTGTGGCCAATGGCCAGGGATGATGGAAACTGTAGTTCAGAATATCTGAATGGCACTGTGTTGAGAAAGGCTTCTCTAAACTATTTACTCTGCATTGTTACTTTAAATTCTGTGTGAGTTTGTGGCTCCTAACCGTACTTCTTCCTAGAAAGTTAGGCTGCAATGCTAACCCCATTTATCTGGGAGTTAGTCCTGTGGATTTCAGTAGGACTTAATTCTGAATAGATACGACTAGGACTATTCTGTTAAAGTCCTATTAAAGACAGATGTTTAGAAAACAATTTCATATTAGGTTCTAAAACATTTGTACTCATTGAGCAGGGACATATACCACACATCTTCTTGAGCTGCAGCATAAATTTCCAAACCAAAATGTCAATTTTGAAGTCCTAAGGCCAGTATTTCTGTTCATGCTCATTCTGACTTTGCATTTGGATCAAGCTGTAAGGCCTTCTAAAAAGTAAACTGCCGATCTGCTGATAGTTTAAAGCCACAAATCCAGTGTACACTTTGAAGCAAATTCCATTGAATAAAGCATTTTCCTCTAAAACAGGTATGTGGATTTTGTGTTAATTTACCTAAAATGCCTGTTTTACAGGGCCAGATAACATGACACCATATATGCTCATATTTTTGTCACTTGCCATGAGGCAAAGGCTCAAACCACTGCTTGTTGTCTTTTTTCATTCCTATTCTGGATTCTTTCCTCCATGTCCTTTTTTGGCTTTGGAAATGGCCCTGCAGCTTTCTCTTTTCCTACCTTTTAAAAACAAACTTTCACTATTACTTGTTTAGTTGACCTCTGTTGGCAATTCAAACAGTGTTTTATACTTTTTGGTTTGACTTACACTACTGTGTAACGAGCAGTTTGGATTATCAAAAATTCTGCATAAAGGCAGGAACATCCAGTCATGCTTGGTTAGTGCCACTGAAATTGTTATGCCTAAATAGGTGCAACATGGCAAACCTGCATCTTTAAATTGTATTTTCCTTATTTAAAAAAGATGCTTGAAACTAATAAACATTTAGACTGCCTTGGTAATACATTTAACTATATGAAGCAGACAGCTTTTCCAGTGACTGTTGGACAACCCAAGTAGTTGGATTCATTAGGACTGGTTGTTACAGTTCTTTCTTCTGGGTCATTCCCCACCAAATCACCTGGTGCCATATGCTCTCACGACTCAGATTTTGCTCAAATTTTTAAATGTGTAGATACCTATAAGATAAGCTCAAAATAATATTTTAAGATTTTTTGGTCCAAAATTTTTGGTCCATATTAAATATCTTTTGGATGATAGGTCTAATGATATTACACTGGCCGTGGCAAAGTTTCTTTCGGAAGTTATAAGAATCAAAGATCATCATGTTTGAGACAAAACAAAATGACCGCCTCGGTTTCTCTCTCTTGTGTGGTTGGCTGTCTCAATTGTATTTTGTTCTGAAATTGTTCTACGGGTCTTTGGACCGCAATAAAGATTTCTATATATAGAATATGCAGAAATGGTGAAACTCACGGGAAGACTCAGAGACAATGATAATGAAGACTTTAAAAAAGACTGGGAACCGTTTATGATGTATCTACAGAAATATTGTAAAGAAATGGACTCAATAGCAGGGTTTGATTAAACACTTAAAAGTAAGAAAATAAGTTTAAAGGTCAGGAAATAATAATATGGAATGTAATTCAGTGCAAGATATAATTATGAAAGAAAATTTGGTATAAAAATGATAAGAATTTAAGTATATTGAGAGGTATAAGGTCGTAAAAACAGGGCAAAAATTAAGCAGAAGTAATAAATATTTAAAGAACCAGAAGGGGAAGTTGAGGGAAGTCATGGTTTTTATTTATTTTTTGTTTATATGACAAATGTTACATTGTGTTATTTGGTTGAATATTAAATTATAAAATCCAATATATATCCATCCAGCATCATTGACCATATTACATGTATGGGAAACAAAATAGCTTTGACCATATCATTGCAGGAGTGTTTTACATAATAAATGAACAAGGACTCTGAGACGTATTTTGTTTTTATTAAATCAATAAAACTTAATTTTAAAAATATATTAGATGACATTGTAACATAAGAGGGTACAGTTTTAACTATTCTTATGAATGTGTGAGTTATTTCAGGCTCAGAGAGACGTTAAACCTGTACAAAAATAAATAAAAATTGTAAAAAATTATAACTGCAAAAACCACCCTCCTTATTTTTAAAACATAACAAGTACATGGTTAGCCCATTCTACAACAAAAGTACGAAATATACGTTAGTTGTGGTTTGCGTGCTGTGGCTTATCGAACCTACCGGGAATAAAATAACAAAAATTCACTTTGAATGGTTGGTGACCTTTTTCTGTGGCACTTAAGATCATTTTTATACCTTATTTTGAAAGAGACCACAATTAGCTTTATTTTGATACCAAAATAAGCCAAATTGGTTGAAAAATAAGCGAAACAGGAGGTTTTTTTCTACACTGACGCAGAAATTCCATTAGCCTAAATCGCACAAAAATTGAAATTTTCAAAAAATTCTCCTGCGCCCAAAATTTGGACCAAAAAAATCTTGAAATATTATTTTGATCTTATCTCATAGGTATCTACAATTTTTTTAAAAATGGAGAAAATCTGAGTCGTGAGAGCACAGTCGACTATTAAAATCAGGTGATTTGGCATGGAATGACCCTTGCTATAAAAATGGAAGAGCTGGTCCAGTATTGTTGACATCTATGGGATAGTTCTTCAGTTTATTTACCCGAGTGTCTCATTCTTTATGGGTAACTGTTATGTCATCCATAGCAGACAAGTAACACCAATTAATATTTTATGTACAGGCTTTGTTTTGGTAGTAATGGTTATTAACTCAGTTGAGCACTAGGCCTAAATTAAGCCACTTATAGAAAATGTATGTTCTTTAAAATGTGATTTATTTTGAATTGAATACATTTTAATTTTAGTAATGCAGTGACTGCAGCAATAGTCTGGAAGGTAGTATTCGACTTAAGTTTAGCTCAGAATAGACCATTGAAATTAATGAACATTACTAAGTTAGGTCCATTAGGTTTGCTCTGATTAAAACTCAGGGTGACAAATGCTGTATTTTGGGTCAACCTGGAATTCTGGTGTGCCAAGTCCACTGCAGTTTTTAATATATATCTTATGTGCTGATGCCAAAAAGAGGCTGTGCCACTCTATAACCTTTGGGCAATTTAGAAATTTTTGGCTCCGGCATGACCGAGAAATCTGTTCAAGCAGCAAATGTGAAAAGCTGAAAAGAAAGAAAAGGGGTGGGGGAAAAAGAAGTAAAGGGACTGAGGGGATGAGAACATAGAAGGGGAATTGAGGGAATGGAAAAATGAAACTTAAACATCCAGCTTTAATATAAGGTTTCCATTTGAGTTGCTCAGCACTTTCAAATATATCGAAATTAACTAACAATAGAGTGTACGATTACTGGTCCCAGTGTTCAAGTAAACTAAACCATTTCTAGCTACATAAGAAAACTACTCTACTTAAATGAACAGCAGCTTCAGTATTTGAATGAAACCATATAAAACTCCATCTTTCCAGGTCATCTGTTCAACTCTTTGCAATAAGAATGGAGGTTTAAGCCATACTTTAACAGATTAAAACCCAATATGCTCTTAGAAACCTCCAGAGAAAGGGCGTCTATAACTTCTCAGGGCAAATTGCTCTGGTTTGCTTGGTTTTAAATTTCATAATGCTCCTTAGCAAAGCTTTATTATCTGCATTCTGGGCATAGATTTTTATTTTCATGTGATTATTTTTGTTACAAGCTGCCCAGAAAGTTTTGTTATAGGGAGCCATATAAACAATAAATCAGTAACAAAAATATGTCTGAGCTTTAAAAAAGAAACTTTAGGTAAATAACTCTAGTTCGATTATATTAAGAAGCGCAGCAGCTCTTTCTATACACTGAGTATGATAGAATCAGTAGCAAATTCTAATATAATCTTAGCTGGTTTAATCAAGTAAACTATATGGGTATTCTCCCAGCAGGTGAGTTCTTCCAGCAATCTTGTCTCCATGTAGATGCTGTTGATTCACTACAGTGCCAGAATATATTCTTAAGAAGAAAATTTATCTCCTGTCAAAGTAAAATAATACAATTTTTGATGAGGAACCTCTCCTCCAAAACTATGAATTTTTTCATGATAGGGTAGTGGGTTTTTAAAAAAATGAAAATGGTTGACTGATTTGGAAGTAGCTGTTTGAAAGCTTTTCACATTTATGTGTTTGAAAAATACTTATAAGCACTAGCCTGGGAGTGGGATCCTGTCAGATTTCTCTGTAAACTTGTATAGGATGGGGGTGCAAGGCTTAAACTATAAATTAGGCTTCTAAATAGGCAGTAGTCTGGCCATCATGCTGCGATAAGTAAGAATTAAGCTTTAGAAAAACAATATTTTTTGCTTTCAGTCCACAAATGACTAATACAGGTAAACCGTGGGCAGGCAGGCTAGTAAAAACAGTGGGCTAATATTTTTTTCCACAAGTCTACGGTTTGTTTCAATCCACAAAAGCTGCTAGACTAAAAATTGTAGGCTAATTTTTTACAAGTCTTCCATAGGATCACAAAAGTTGCTGGATCACCATGTTTTACTAGCAAGTCTGTCTTTGAATACCCATACTCATTTTTTTGCATATCTAGCATCATGAAAGAGAAAATCAACTTTACAAAACCTTTCTGATTGGGTAGCAATTTTCTGTTTACTGGTGGTTAGTTATATGACTTACAGCATACAATATACAATATGTAAAACATATATTAAAACATCAGTAAATAGAAACATTGGGACACGGGTGGTGCTGTGGGTTAAACCACAGAGCCTAGGACTTGCCGATCAGAAGATTGGCGGTTTCGAATCCCCGCAGCGGGGTGAGCTCCGTTGCTCGGTTCCTGCTCCTGCCAACCTAGCAGTTCGAAAGCACATCAAAGTGCAAGTAAATAAATAGGTACCGCTCCGGTGGGAAGGTAAATGGCGTTTCCGTGCGCTGCTCTGGTTCTCCAGAAGCGGCTTAGTCATGTTGGCCACATGACCCGGAAGCTGTACGCCGGCTCCCTCGGCCAATAAAGCGAGATGAGCGCTGCAACCCTGGAGTCAGTCATGACTGGACCTAATGGTCAGGGGTCCCTTTACCTTTAAATAGAAACATTAAAACATCCTGCATAGTAAAAAGGCCTTCTGAAATAAAATGGTTTTAGCCTGATACCTGAAACTTAACCTAGACCATCTCTGCCTGATTCCTAATGGAAGGGAGTTTATAGAGTTGGGCCCACTACACCTAAGGCATGACTTCTTGATGACACGAGTTGTGCTTCTGATCTACAGGGGAACTGCTGATAGGGTACTCACTCACTGGATTATCACCTTGTCGTGGTGAGTGGACTTGCATGTTCTTATGACTCTTGTGAGCGAAGCCGTCGGGAATCTCGTACTCCCAGCAGGGTCACCCAAGGCAGTAATGTCAAAGGAAAGGAGCTAGACAAAGAATGATCCAAAAAGTCCTCAACGGCAGAACAGGTGGATAATAACAAGTGGTATGTTACAACGGCTGTGAAGGCAGATGAAGTCTGCAACAGATAGCAATCTACAGGTTGTCGTGACTACTCATGGCATCAGAACAGAACCTTACTGCTAAGACTGTGTGTTGGTCAGCGTGCGCTGATCTACACACATAAATCAAATTCATGCACAGGTGTCTTCCAAAAACCAAACCTATACCCCAGAAGTCCCATGGCAATCGGCAAATGGTAACGGGGGCAGGATCGTGAAATCTGGAAGCCCCTAGTCATGAACCGGCACATGGGCGGTGGATACAGATTCAGTCGTTCTGACTCAAGGTACGAGGCAGTTGAGCAGCTCGGTAGCTGTATCCATGACTGAGCAGCCCTTTTTAGGAAACTCTGTTGGGTGGTGGAACCCTTTTTAAAAAGAGAGAGAGAGAGAGAGAGAGAGAGAGAGAGAGAGAGAAGAGCAGATGCCGAATGTTGAAAGTTGAGGGTGATAAGACTGTTTAATAACTTTCCATTGCAAGTGTTTTTCTTTTCAGAATTAGCTCCATAACCCCTGTTCTCCCTGTGAGCAAAAATATTAGGAGTGTCTGTATTCTTTCTTCTCCCTCCTCCTTAAAAGTGAGGCAGAAACCAGAAGGGTAGTGATTTCTTAAAACAGCAAATAAAAAAGAACTTCACAGCTCCTCCCCATCCATACTCTGCTTCTAATTCCAACCTCCTCTTGCTGCTTTTTGCTTATAAAATAAATAAGTCATGAAGATGGATGTGGGGCTGCTCATCACTTGTAGTCTCAGGGCCATTTTTCAGATTGGTTGGAAAGTTATCTTAGATGGTATCTTTCCAGCTATACTCTGTCATGAAGCCACTGTGTTTTAAGTAGTTGACCTTTTCAGTAGTTAATTGATAGCTCCTTGATTTCTCCCCTGCCCAGCACTAGGAGACAATGTGAGTCTGCTGCCTAAGGCAATTGGAGCAAATTTCATGTTGTTGTTTTGCCTTGATTATAAGCGTTCCCATTTTCTACTGATGTGGATGTGACCATTTTGTTTGTTTGTTTTTAAACTACAGTAGTCGGTGAATTGTATGTTATGAAGCTAGCGGACACACTATAGGTATTTGGGAGGCTTTTTTTAAACAAAGTACTAAAATGAACATTCTTGCAGTGCAATCCTATACTTGTTTCTCAGCAGTTCAACTATTCTCAGTGGGGCTTGCTCCCAGTTAAGCATGCATAGGATTGCAGCCTGATTGCACTTTATTGTCAAGTAGTAGATGAGTGAACTAGAACATACTTGCTCTCAAATTATTGCTCTCAATAAAGAGGTCATCAAGAGTTCCGCTGTGCTTTGCTTGCAGGCTGAATGACCCTCTTGACTCTGCCCACCTGTTTTTTATTTTAACCATAGCAGATTACAAGCTAGGAAACTTAAATATAGCAGTACAAAAAACATTATTTCAGTGACTCATGCACAACTTTCTCGTCCAGAGCAGAATATATCTTGAGGTGTATGCACTTCCATGGAAGCAGAAAACCTTCAATGGGGGAGGGGGCAGACTGAAGATAGTTGTGTTTCTGTCAGCTACTTTCTGAATTCTTGGATTAAGAGTTTGACTTTAAATCTTTTAGATAGATAGATAGATAGATAGATAGATAGATAGATTCTGCTAGTTCTGTTATCAACATTTGTCCTGATAGCTTTTGGGAAGAGGTCACATAGGCACTAAAAGGCTATTCACAGTTGTCAGGTTTCTATCTTGGTTGGTAGAGTTCAACCCCTAGCATAGAATTCTGAAACATTGCTTTGAGTCCACATAGCATTTACTGAGTTCTCATTCTTATAGATCAAAACAAGAGCTGTAGCTATTTCTCACTTCTGTGACATCATTGCAGCTCATCCAATAGAAACAGGCTGATAATCAGTTTTATTTAGTGGAATTCAAGGAAAACTTTCCTTATATAAATAAAAACATCACTTTTTGGAAAAGGTCCCTTTTTTTTTATAAATGATATTTATTAAAGTTTCAAAAAATACGAAAAATACAGAATACAGAAAAAAGAAGAATAAAGTTTTTTAAAATATAACCAAAAAAGTAAAAAATAAAAAGAAACATACCAAATAAAACAGTTAAAAGGACATTAATTTTCCATAACCTATCTTCCCTATACTTATTTCCCCGGACCTCCTCATACCTCCCTTTTTTGTATTCCAGTTCAATTTGTTAGTTCAGCAAATCCTTACCATTAAACTTTTGCCCAGTTGCAAACCTTTTTTCATATCTCTTAAAGCATTACAGCTAAAAACCTCTTAGTTTCTATCCAACATCCTTCTAAGATTCCTTAATTTTACAATATTTCTGTAAATAGTCTTTATATTTCTTCCAGTCTTCTTTCACCGACTCTTCTCTCTGGTCTCGGACACTTTTTGGAAAAGGTCCTAGAAATAATCATTTTATTATTTTCTGAAATTACATCACAGGTGAGGAACTTCGTTGAAAGATGGTATCTGGCAAAGAATTAGAACATTGTCATATTGGTGCTTACAGCTCTGATCACAGAAGACTGTGTGTGGAAAATACTGTTTTCCAAAAAAAAGTTATGCTAAATTGAAGTAAGAATATTATTGTCTGAGAGAGTTCCTCTCCTCATCCTGTGCTGGTTGCCCTTTCCTTCCCTGCTTATTCTTCATATAATAGTTGTTATGTCTCCGCAATGGTGTAATTTCAGTGATCACACATCTAGAACATTGATCATTTTAGAAAAATGGCCACCTGTTTACTGACGGTAAACAAAGTGCTAAACTTTCAGTAGCCAAATTCTTGCCTCTCTTTTTTTTAAAAAAGCCAGCAGTTCCCAATATTTGGTCTAAATTTCTTTTCTGATGAACATGCAGTGTCAATACTTTGTGGGACAGCAGAAGCCAGGTTGCATCTGTTCCCAGAACTGTCATGCTGGGGACAATTGATGCCTATGCATCAGACTGATAAGATGCATATCCTTATTTACACTACCATAGCCAATTTTATCAGGTAAGGATAGCATGTTGTAGGGTTTATATGTGCTGGCCATGATCCCTGTCTCCATGTAAGAGACAGCTATAGGGCACTTATTGGAGGGAGGTGATGAGCAGTTCTTCCCTTACCTTGTGTGGGTGTGAGTGTGTGCTTATATAAATGTGTGTATATGAGGGTGTACTTGCAGGAGAGTGGCAAAAGAAAGTAACTTTTTTCCACTCCATGCCCCTGTGCCTCCTGCAAATTCAGGCACATTCTGTGCCAACTTTTAAAAGCCTGCTGAAAACTTTTATATTCTGCTATGCCTGTGCAGGCAGTTAAGAATACACCTCCTCCCACACACAATGGTCCATTTATGTTTGTTTTCAATTTCTTTTCACTTTTCACTTGTTTTTAATTTTTAATGATTTTATTATTTGGCTTTGCGTTTTTATATTGTTGCAAACCACTGTGATATATTACAGTGGTACCTCTAGATATGAACGGGATCCATTCCGGAGCCCCGTTCGCATCTAGAGGTAAACGTATTTAGCAATGGTACGTCTGCGCACGCCCGTGTCTCTTTTGCCGCTTCTGCGCATGCGCGTGATGTCATTTTGAGCGTCTGCGCATGCGCAAGCAGCGAAACCCAGAAGTAACGCGCTCCGTTACTTCCGGGTTGCCGCGGAGCGCAACTCGAACGTGCTCAACTTGAAGTAAATTTAACCTGAGGTGTGATCGTATTATGATACAACGGTATATAATTTTTTTTAATAAATAAATGTGGGGCCCTATGTATATATAAAAAAATGTAATCTAAACACAGACAATTGGAAAACACTGGCCTGCAAGTGCTCCGATTGGAGAACAGCCTTTACCAAAGGTGTCTTCTTCGCCGTCGCTATCGCCACTTGGTAGGCTCGACGTTGAGCTCTAACCTGTGTCCGGTCAGATTCGGAGTGAGTTTTCTGCCACCGACGCTCTAGCCGTCTCAGCGATTGTTTCATCGCTCTCAGCTCCGAATAAAACCACAGGGCTGTCTGGGCTCCATGCAATCGGAGAGGGCGCTTCAGAGCCAGACAGTCGATAGCCCTGGTTAACTCCGCATTCCAGCGGGCCACCAAGGAATCAGCTGAAAGGCCATCAACATGGGATAAAGCATCCCCTACCACTCTCTGGAAACCATTTGGATCCATTAAGTGGCAGGGGCGGACCATCCGAATTGGTCCTACCTCCCTGCAGAGGGGAAGGGTCGCGGAGAAGTTCAGTTGCACCAGGAAGTGATCTGACCATGGCACTTCTTTTGTTTCACTTTTACTTAGTGTCAGATCACCCACGTCACTAGAGGTGAACACCAGGTCTAAGGCATGTCCATGACTATGAGTTGGGCCAAACTTATTCAGGGACAGCCCCATGGAGGCCATGCTTTCCACGAAGTCCCGAGCGGCCCCTTGTAAGGTCGTGTCGGCATGGATGTTAAAATCCCCTAGGACAACCAAACTAGGTGTCTCCAGGAGAACATCCGCCACGACCTGAAGCAGCTTGGACAGGGAATCCTTGGTGAAGCGGGGAGGTCGGTACACCAAAAGGAATCCTGTACTGCCCCATTGCCCAACTTCCAGAACATGCACTCAGAAAACTGGGTCTTCCCAGTAGGACGCCTGATGCAAACTAATGACTTCCTAAAAATCACTGCAACCCTCCCTCCCCGCCCACATGACCTGGGTTGCTGTGCGTAAGAGAAACCTGGTGGGCAAGCAGCGGCAAGGACAGGCCCATCTGCTTCCTCTAACCAGGTCTCTGTCACACATGCCAGGTCAAATCCTCATTCCACAATCAGGTCGTGGATGGCAGTGGTTTTATTCATCATTGACCTGGCATTACACAGCAACACCTTCAGGTCATGTGTGTTTCCCCTGTTGATTCCAGTATCCATCCGGTCAAGGCCAGACCTGGAGGCAGGGATAGTCCTCAAACAACGACTAAACCTGCCTCCTCGGTAATGACATGGTCTGGTCTTAGCGTAACTCCTCCTCCTGCCCATGATCACCGAGATCGGATGTCCCAGTGCTTCCCCCCTGTGGAACTTGTCCCAGCCATCGTGTTGGCTGGGACCCCACTCCCCGGCAGCCCTGATCCCACCCCTTAAAAACAAAACACAAACTATACAGAACCAATTAAAAAAAAAAACCAGAACAATTATACTAAAATTAATCCCCAACCAAATATCCATCCCACCCACCCACCCCCCAACAAAGGAAAAAAAGAAACAAAAATTTAAATTGCCACCGACTGCATGAGGACATTTTAAAACACATTAACCACTTGGAATAGGGAAGCAATGGCAGAACACTTCCCACACTTCCCTAAAAGTTTGTTCCAAATAAGGGCCTAGGCCACGCCCCCTGGGCCAGTTGGAAAAGGCCTTGGAAGGGAGCAGGCCCTGCAGTCCTCCCCACAGCCGATGGTCCGAGGCCTCCCCGCAGCAGGAGTCCCTTTATAGCTGGGAGAGTGAGGACCTGGACCACGCCTCCTGGGCCAGTTGGAAAAGGCCCTGGAAGGGAGCAGGCCCTGCAGTCCTCACCCAGCCGATGGTCCACAGAGTATGTTCATTTGCAACACAATGCTGAGTGTCTGGGGAGGAAGGGGAAATGGAAAATCTGTGTGGGTGGGGATTCAGTGGAGTATTCTGGAAAATGACATGACTGATTAAAATCCTGCAAAGGTACCTTCCGCACTGCAACATTAATTGCAGGTCCCACATGCACAGTTATGTTAGTGAAAGTCACAGCTGTGAGGTCAGGGCAACTGCTTTTGTGAGAGGAATGAAAGTTGTGTTTTATTTTCCTGGTTCAGATATTTATTGACTACATTCACATAAGCAATACTAGACATTATGTTACTTTTATTTTTGTTATATTAAATGTTATTATTCCAACCACTAAATCACACTGGCTTCTAGGGTTCTTCTGCTATGGGGCAGCTGTATAAATTAAGTAGCTAAATAAGGATGAGGAAAGCAAAATGCCACTTAGAGAAGGATCTGAAATATTTTCCTTGCAGTTTGCATTTGTTTTATTCTGGATTGTTTTATTTGATGTTCTAATGTTTTGTAAACCATTTTGAATTTTTTTCTTTAAAATATAAAGCAGTACAGAAAAGAAATAAATAATAATAATAAATGCCACTGCAAAAAAAAAAGGTGCCTAGACATACCAGTGTGGCAAACATAATATGGGTTTAAGGTGCCATTTGGCGATTAGCTTATATATCGGAGTTTCTAACAGTGCTCGAAATTATGAAATATGATGAGTGAATTGGTCTACTACTGAACTACTAGTGTAGTGGCAAAGAAACTGAGCTTTAATCAAGACTCATACTTGAATTTTGCTTCTGCCATGAACTTACTAGGTGGCCATAGGCACGTTCTCAGCCTTATTTCCCCCATATACAGTGGGGGCAGGGGATGTTTCATAATATTGAAAGCCAAATTGTCTGCTCTAGAGTCCTTTAGGGTAGAGGTTAACATTTTATATCTAAACCAAAAATACTGTGACTTTGGAAACAAAAACTCTAAAATGCAAGCCGATCGAATTTTTAGAAAGGTTGCCCATAGAAGGGTGCAACACAAATATTTTGGCATTTTTCAATACAAAGAAAAAGACAAATGTGAATTATTTAAGACATCTTATTTGGACTTATACAGTTCACTGTCAACGTCTTTGTTTGCTATCAATGAATATTAAAATAAACTTCGTCTACTACAGTTAGAAATGCAGTCTTTGAATAAATCAATTGAACTGGAGGAAGTGCAAATGACTATTTAAAAAAACTAAAAGGATACAAAGTACTGGGAGGGGACGGTTTTACAGGAGCATTCTTTAAACATTTTTACAATGAATTATATCCCCATCTAGCCAGTTGTTGAATGAAGTTCTTTCAGGGGAACTTCCAGGCATCAATCTAAAATAACAGTACTACTGAAAGTTGAAGAAAAACCTTGACCTAGTGGAATCATATTGTCCAATTAGCCTGTCAAACCAGGATGCTAAGCTATATACAGTGGTACCTCAGGTTAAGTACTTAATTCGTTCTGGAGGTCTGTTCTTAACCTGAAACTGTTCTTAACCTGAAGCACCACTTTAGCTAATGGGGCCTCCTGCTGCCGCCGCACCGCTGGAGCACGATTTCTGTTCTCATCCTGAAGCAAAGTTCTTAACCTGAAGCACTATTTCTGGGTTAGCGGAGTCTGTAACCTGAAGCGTATGTAACCCGAGGTACCACTGTACAGGCATTTTAACAAACTGGTTAAATACGTTCATTACAGGTTATATCTCCCCAGACCAGATGAGCTTTATGCCTTGCTGGCAGATAGTGGTTCCAATATGACACCTATTGAATGTCATTCATTATAGTAAAAAGAAAGGTAACACGCTTGCAGTAACCTCATTAGCTGTTTACAAGGCCTCTGAAAGGCCGAGTTCGACATTTTTAAAAGCACTGATACATAGACTTAACATGAGAGAGTGGTTTATTAATTCAATTTTTGAAGTGTACAGTTTTTGAAGTTCTTATGCTACTGTCAGTGTAATTTTTCTCGACTCAGAAACCCCTATAAAAAGAAGAGTAAAACAAGGATGCCTTTTGTCCCCACTTTCATTTGCCTTGTCTATTGAATCTTTGGTAATAGTAATTAGAAACAATGTGAATGTAGAAAGTGTAAAAAAAAAAAAAAGTAAAATGAATACTATTATCCCTTTTTTGCCAGTGACATAGCACTCATGTTATCAAAACCAGAATTGGCATTACCTGAAATTATCTGAGAATTGAATAATTTTGACAGTGGCAGACCTACACATAATGAAACCAGATATGAAATTATGTATATTGGGGTCCTCAGAAGGTCTCAAGTTTTCATACAAAGCATTGTGGGAGCTCAAAAGCTGAAATACCTGGGAATATTCATAACAGAAAACTTGTACTCTTTAAGTAAAGCAAATTTTGAGCCCTTGTTAGGCAAGGAACTGAAATCCTGGGAGGGTCTAAACCTTTCTTGGTTGGGCCACACTGTGGCTGTGAAGATTTTAATCCTCCCACGTTTCACTATTTCAGGTCCTGCAAATAACTATAATAGGAACGTGGGTGGCGCTGTGGTGTAAACCACTGAGCCTTTTGGGCTTGCTGATCGGAAGGTCAGCAGTTCAGATCCACACAATGGGGTGAGCTTCCACTGCTCTGTCTCAGCTTTTGCCAACCTAGCAGTTCAAAAGCACGCCAGTGCAAGTAGATAAATAGGTACCATTGCGGCAGGAAGGTAAATGGTGTTTCTGTGAGCTCCGGCACTTGTCACGGTGTCCCATTACACCAGAAGCAGTTTAGACATGCTGCCCACATGACCCAGAAAGCTGTTTGTGGACAAACGCCGGCTCCCTTGGCCTGAAAACGAGATGAATGCCGCATCCCCATAGTCGCCTTAGACTGGACTTAATCGTCATGGGGTCCTTTACTTTTCACCTTTCACCTTAGTAAGTATAATGCTTTAACAACAAGTTTGGCAGAGATTATGGGGTAAATTCATTCATAGTAGAAAGAAAGCTTGGTTATGGGTAGTGGCTTGTTTCTGTGCTTTGCTTCATAGACTCTTAGAGCTCCTTAGAAACGGAAAGAGAAACTCCAGGGTCCTGTAGGACCTTTCTTTTTAACTTTGGAGTAAGACAGATTGGCCCCATACTGACTGTGCTGTGCTTCCAAGGCACAGTACAGTTATGTGAATAACCCCTAGCTCCAAGGTTAGGTGGAAGACTAGGGCTTACGTTTGTGGTTGATGGCCGGTGGCCCCTGTGAATTGTGGACCCCTGCCAGTTGACATAGCATATTGGGCACCAATGTCTCTTTTCAAGCCGTGCTTTGTCAAAGTATATTACACCTTTACAGTTTCACATTTACCGTATTTTTCACCCTATAGGACGCACTTTTTCCCCTCCAAAAATGAAGGGGAAATGTGTGTGCGTCCTATGGGGCGAATGCAGGCTTCAGGAAGCTATCTGCAAGCCCTGGGAGCCCGGTGGGAATTCCTGCCGTGCTTCCTAGGCTTGCGGATAGCTGTCTGCATCCCGTAGCCTGGGGCACGCTGAGCTATCTGCAAGCCCTGGGAGCCCGGTGGGAATTCCCGCCGGGCTCCCTAGGCTTGCGGATAGCAGCCTGTTCTTGGGGCTAGGGTCGGGGGAAGCTTGGGCTTCCCCCGCCCCAGCCCCGCACCTGGGGGAAAAAAAAATAATTCCCCCCCCCCCGTTATTTCCGCCCCAAAAAACTAGGTGCGCCCTATGAGCCGGTGCGCCCTATAGGGCGAAAAATACGGTATTTCAAATTCATTGCTTCTAAGCTGAACCCATAGTATCCATTTTCTTCCTGTGTTTTCTTATTGGGCCGAATTCTGTGAACTTGGGAAATCTATGTTCACTTTGCAGCCATCATTATCTCAGTCATCAAATAACTACTCTTAGTGTGCTGTCTAACGTGGCTGTAGTGGGGAACCATTTTTGTACGTCTGTGTATGTATTCTAGGTGTTTGTATGATAATCTTAATCTATTATATACTTTTTAAATAGTTTAATGTATTTATAATTATGTTTTAAATTTAAGTTGCTTGGAGACATTTTAGGGAACAGGCATCTAACAAATCACAACATATGCACTACTCACAAGTAACAAGGAGAAACTGACTAAGTGCTGGGGAGGGAGGATGAATGGTGAATCACACAATGGTATTGATTAGACTGACTCAATAAAGAGTTTGTCTTTGAAATGGCCCTGTTGCTAGGGGGAAGCTGCCTGCTCAGCCAATACCTTAATGGAAGGTTGATCACAATTTACAGTTGCAGAAATTAGAAACGTTCAGCTCTAGTTTTCATTTTAAGAGCAAGTATTGGGGTAGATAGAAAACCCTGTCAAAGCAGCAGCAAGTTTGTGCCATCTGCCCATCCAATGTGGCTCCCCGGTTAATTTGTGTTTTGTGGGCCCCAACCATACAAAAATGGCATGCATGATACACTGATGCAGATATCTGGCTGACACACTGTGCTCCTCCACCTTCTGTAAGCAACTTGGACATGTTGGCAGGGCTGCCTACCTGTGAATTCCCTGACATCACCACCACTGCCACCATCATTTTGTGTATGCTGCCTTTCCATAGTTATAGCAATGCTCAAGGCTGCTTACAACATGAAAAGATTTACATAATCACAAACACAGCAAAAGTCATTTATAAATAAAACACATCAAAAAGTACACAACCAGGCAATTTTCACATAAATCATAAAAGATCTGAAAATAAAGATACAAAGAATTAATACCCATAACAGTGACACAAGTCCCCAAGCAATACCCCAAACCAAGAGTCTGTTCAGCAGCCTCAGCTTTTGTGACTGGAGTCATTCAGGGCCCCACCCTCTCAGGCTGGGTGGGAGAAGTCCAGCAAGACAGGGAGCAGGAATCCCAGGACTGGCAAGGCACCAGGTGATCAATTTTACCTTTGCAGTGCAGCTTGCATTCAAGCAGCTTTCCAAAGGAAGGTCCCAGCCAATAAAAGCGGTGCTTGGAAGTTACAGCTGATCAGCACTGTCCTTCAAGCTCCATTTTTGGCAAGGCTTGGCTGGACTCAAGAGTTTCTGATCAGGAACCCTGGAGTGTAGCCAATCGCAGTGGGACATGAAGTCACTAGTGATCAGCCTGCGATTAGTACTGACTTCAAGTCCCCCTTTCAACATGGCTCTGATTGGGGGCTTCCGAGTGGAACCAATGCCACCCAAAAGGGGTTTGCATTTGGTGGCAGATCTAAAAAGTACCAAATACCATGCACATTTTCAGGCTCCCCGTGGTTCCTTTGCACCACCCGTGTCTTTATCTTTACATATATGATGTCATGTGGGGTTGATGGATGTGACTTAGGGAAAATAGGATTGTGGCCCAAATTAGGATGCCTGCTGGGCCTAATTAGGCTGAAAGCTCCCTGCTACTGCTCTAATGCATAAAGTGACTATAAACAGATATTAGATGAGCATCTGTCAAATAACAGTGTTAAGCGTGGGACAACCTGATGGTGTAGTGGGTTGAGAACAAAATCTGCTGTATTACAATGTTATATCATTTTAATGGCAACTACAAAAATTGCTTACCTGGAAAACTAATCTTAGAAAAGGGATGTATATTTAGTAGTATTTTGATGTTGAGCAGCAGCTGGGGGAGAAGCAGGCAGCCAGCTCAAATGATCAGCCAACTCAGATCACCAACTGCTTTGTGGGTCATCGTTCAGAATTGTTGCTTCAATGTACTTGCAGATTGACAGGAATCTTTTCGCAGAGTTTGCTAATACTTTCAAGAATATTATGGATCCTGTTGTTTTTAGCTCTGCCATCGCATTCTCCTAGCTTTGATATTTTCTACTCAAAAGTCCAGTGTTGCAGAAAGACTATCATTTTTTAAAACATATTTTTTTGTGGTACATTAGTATGAAACTTTCTGCTAGTGAACACCTAAAAAGCTAGTAAGCTGAATTTTAAAAAGTACTAGTCACAGATGATCCAAAATCTCTTGTTCTATAACTTTATCCTTTACTAAAGATCGGAAATCTAAATGAATATGAATGCTCAGTTTAATTGGGAACAGTAGCTGAATAACATCACCGTGGAGGTTATATGAGCATGCGTGTTATCCTACATTTTGTAGTAGTTCTATCTATTTGCAGAAAAGAAGGCCTATGAAATGAATATTTTAATAAGGAAAGGGTGACACTAATGTTTCTTCCTCAGTTTCAACCTTATACACACACCTGTCCAAAGCCTATCCTATTTCTAAAATTATAACTGAAACCTCTGCACTCCATTGCATAGAATATCATAAAAACTGAAATGTTCATTATAAATAGAAAATCCTAAATATTTTGGGTGTAGAGTGTTTAAACAATTTGTTTTATTGTAAGCTACCATGAGGGCTCCATTGGGGTATATAAGGGGGAGCGATAAAAATATAAACATTCCCCCTTAGCTTCTCATTTTGTTAATGAGTTGTCTTAATAAGTGTTCAGAAGCTCATTTTGAGTCTCTATTCAGCAGGTGACTTGACTAAAATATTGTCTTCCTGTGTTTGAAATTTAGGTAACCTAATCCATGGGTAAAGTTGGGAAGATGTGGAACAGCTTCAAGTACAGATGCCAGAATCTCTTCAACTCTGAAGGTGGAAACAGAAGTGAAAATGTAGATGTAAACTCTAATTGTTCTTCTGTTAGAGATAAAAGTGTGTTTGTTCCTGATCCAGCTGTGCAACGACCCAGCAGCCCTTTACGAGACGTTTCTTTACAACTGAGTCTAAACCCTTCAAGAAGCTCTGCAAGGAAAAATCAAAACTGTGCCGCAGAAATCCCACAAATTGTGGAAATAAGCATTGAGAGGGAGAGTGACTTGGGTGTTGGCACAGGAGCTAGACTTGCACGAAGAGATTCCTACTCAAGGCATGCACCATGGGGTGGGAAAAAGAAACATTCCTGCTCTACAAAAACCCAGAGCTCTTTGGATAGTGATAAAAGATTTGGCCGTTCTCGCTTGCAAAGGAGAGAGAGAAGATACGGCGTGAGCTCTGTTCATGACACGGACAGTGTCTCAAGCAGGACCATTGGGAGTCGCTCTCTGCGACAAAGACTTCAGGATACTGTTGGCTTGTGTTTTCCTATGAGAACGTACTGCAAACCATCCAAACCTCTCTTTTCTAACAAAAGGAAGATCCATCTCTCTGAACTAATGCTAGAGAAATGTCCTTTCCCTCCTGGGTCAGATCTGGCTCAAAAATGGCATCTAATTAAGCAGCACACAGCCCCAGTGAGCCCCCACTCAACTCTCTTTGATGCATTTGATCCTTCCGTGGCTTCTACAGAAGATGAAGAGGACAGGCTCAGAGAAAGACGAAGGCTCAGTATTGAAGAAGGGGTTGACCCTCCTCCCAATGCTCAGATACATACCTTTGAAGCTACTGCACAAGTTAACCCGCTATATAAACTGGGACCAAAGTTGGCCCCTGGCATGTCTGAGCTGACTGGAGACGGTAGTTCAACGCCACAGGGAAGTTGCGACCTGGAGGAAGACACGACTACTCTCTGCTTGCAGTCGCGTAGGCAGAAGCAGCGCCAGGTATCTGGAGAGAGCCATAGCCACACCAGCAGACAAGGAGCTTGGAAAGTACATACTCAGATTGATTATATACACTGCCTTGTCCCAGACTTACTGCAAATTACTGGTAATCCTTGTTACTGGGGAGTGATGGACCGCTACGAAGCAGAAGCACTTCTGGAAGGAAAACCCGAAGGCACTTTTTTGCTCAGGGATTCTGCTCAAGAAGACTACCTCTTCTCTGTGAGCTTCCGCCGTTACAACCGGTCTCTACATGCACGCATTGAACAATGGAACCACAACTTTAGTTTTGATGCTCATGACCCCTGCGTGTTTCACTCCTCCACTGTTACAGGGCTTCTAGAACACTACAAAGATCCTAGTTCTTGCATGTTTTTTGAACCTTTGCTTACAGTCTCCCTAAACAGAACTTTCCCTTTCAGCTTGCAATATATCTGCCGGGCAGTAATCTGTAGGTACACTTCGTATGATGGGATTGATTGTCTCCCTTTGCCATCAATGTTGCAGGACTTTCTCAAGGAATATCACTATAAGCAAAAGGTCCGAGTGCGATGGTTGGAGCGGGAACCAATAAAGGCAAAGTGAACAGAGTTCAGAGTCCCCAGTAAGCTCACTAGAAATATGTGCTTTTTTGTGCAAATACAGTATAACTGTGGTTAGCACATCAGTGTTCAGCTGCTGCTTCTTCATCTTCTTTTGCAATATGGTACTTTAAGCTTAATGTGTTTCTGAGTGTGTTCAGATGCTGCCTGCTATTAATCAAGCTTAGTTGTGAATATCTCTTGAAACAATATGTTGAACACAAATTCACACATTTTTAAATGCGGGCTTGCAGATTATAATTGTCTGGTTCTGAAATACACTATTTTCTTTCCGCAATTCGTATAGTTATTATGCAAAGCAGCCATTGAGTATTTTCTAAGTTCCATTCAATTTCAGGAGTCAGAACAAAGTGAGTTGCTGACTTTTTTTCATTTTTGAACATTTGAACACCAGCAGTTGTGTTCCAGTGTAGTTGCTTTCTTAGTACATTTTAAAGTTCAGTTTTTCCCCATGACAATTTTCGCATTAAAGCTATTCTAAAATGAAAAATCATGAGCAACTAGGGAAACTGCTGTCACCTAGCACTTCTAAGAATTGATCACGTACATTAATGAGCACTTATATGCATCTACTCGGCACCAAACTCTGGTTTTTAAAAGGGCTGTATCCCAATTAAGTATACTTTAGTGTATGATTGTTTGAGTGCTAATAGATTAATCAGCCAACTAAGTTTGCATAAATTTGCATATCACTAAAATAGTAACCATATGCAGGAAAAGGAAACACATACTTTATTTTATAATGATGCTTACATGTGCCTGCTATGATACCTTGAAAGAGGCATCTCTTATAGCAGTGGTCACCAACCTTTTTGGATCTGGGGGCACATTCTGAATTTTGAGAAGATACCAAGGGTACCAGTTAGAAAATGGCTGCCACCGGGGGTGTAGCCTAACACATAATGGCTGCCACCTTCAAAAGAGAAGAAAAAGAAAAGAAATGGGAACATAAAATAGTTCGAATATGGGAAAATCAGTTCAGGTTTTAAATATATATATCTATGCGTAATCAGAGATAAAAAGACATAAAGCTGACTCATAAGTATTTTCCCCTATCTTTATGGAGAAGAAAATAGTAGAAAAACACAGAAAATACAGAAAGGACTCGCCAGAGAAGTAGTTGAACAATACTGTTGCAGAGTAGTGTGATTTTAAGGCTGACTCATCTACAAGCATCTCAAAACTAGGGGTGTATGAAGAAACGATGATAATGATTTTTCTGCCTTTGCACTAAGCCCTCTTCTCTCCAGACAACCTGGGAGCAATCCCTGTCGGCCAGGCAGGGGGGGAAAGTGATAACACTGATGCCTCTGAAATGACTCCCTCCCCCAAAAACAACAACTTGGAAACAATCAGGAATAATGTGGTGAGGATGGTGATGTTGATAATAATGATGCCTCTGCATTACCCCACCCCTCAAGAATGTAGCAACTTGGAAACAACCAGGAAAATTCTTAGCATCATTATTATTACCACCACCATTATGATGTCTCTGTACTGGGCTCCCCCCTTCAAACAACTTTGGGACAATCCTTGCTGTAGGGCATGTAGCAGGGATAGCAGGGAGAAAAAGGGTTGCCATATCCTTACCCCCTCCCTGAGTTCAACAGAGGCTTCTCTCAAGCAGCTGTGTGATCCACATGCCGGCAGGCAGCAAACAAGTATGGCAACAATGGGAGGCTTGCCATCTTGCTCCCCCCACCCCACATTTTCAAAAAGTTTCTTAAGCAACTATCCGCAGACTGTTTCACGTGGCCAGCAGGCAGCAAAACTATTAATTCCTGGGCTGCTTCCCCTATTCCAAACATATTTTTAAAAGCCTCTCAAGTAGCAGCCTGTCAACTGCTCTATGTGGCTGGCAGGCAGCAAAGTAAATGTAGCTGCAAACCTTCCAGGGACTAGGAAACAAGACAGTAACAGGAAAAGTGCAGGAAGCAGGAAAAGGCACCTCTTTGGGACCCTTTGCCTGCTGCCCAAACAACTCATTTATCAGGCACTGCTCTGACTACACTCATTGATTAAAAACACTGTCAGGAGGGAGCAGCCGGGCTGGTTCATTTCACATTGGTTGCTTAGAAGAGCACCTGCACCTTCTGCTTCATAACTTCTTTTCTAGGATGGCTAGAGTCCTGTGAAAGAAAGAAAGAGTTGTGGGTAAGGGCAGCCTGGAGGCACCAGTGAAGGCCGTCTCAGGCACCCAGTTGGCAACACCCCTCCCCCAAAAATCCTACAATATGACTCAGAAGGATGAGTGCCTCTTCTGAGATGTTGCACAGTTTGTGGAAGTGCTTAAAACTTGCACATTTTCTTAAAATCTGCTATACAGTTAATCGGGGTCACCTTAATCAGATGGCTTGTAGTCAGTTGTCTTAAGCATTGCAGCCCTAGTTAAAAAAAAGTAAAGTTTAGTATACACAGTGTTTCAGTAACTTCTGTCTAACGCTGCAAGCCTTCACAGAAGTAAGATTTATTAAATTCATTGGGACTAAACTCCTAGATAAGCATACGTAGGATTGCAGTTTAAGTCAACCGCTGCTGGTAAGTCGTGATGATGAACTTGACTCAGCTATAAGAAACCTGACAAGTAGTAATTGGAGCTTTGCATTAACTGATTTTTGAATGGTTCAAAACAGTATTTTTAACTGTCTGCTAAAAACTAATGGCCATCTAGCTTAGTTATGACTTAAAAGCTGATCCAGAAAAGATAATGTTCTGTTCTGCTTCTTTCCCTCCACCCTACTCAACGCATCATACGTAAAGTTTCAGGCTTCATATAGGTACTGTTGTATTTGTGAATGGTGTAGCACCTTCTTTTGGTAAGTTGTAGATTGTGTTCTCCTTGAGCAAAAAACTTTTGAAACTTGCTCTTTTGCTTCTGGTTCTCCCCCCCCCCTTTGTGGACAGAACATAACCTGTTTTGTCCTAGTTGTGTTTGCACTAAAATTTGTGTTGGAGTACAGAGTCCCTTGTTTTTTGCTTGTGTATCTTGTACCAATGACTAGTGCTCCCTAGGTTCTTAACCAGTTGACAGTGACTGTGAGGTAGGAAAACTTCAAAGCTGCGTATACAAGAAGAGTTATACTTGTATGCCAACACTAACCAGTTTATCAATGTGTGTTTTTCCTCCGCTTGCTGTGCCTTGTTACAGCTTTTTTGTGCTAATAAAGTACAGTATTTTCAGTGTTATACTTGTATATTTGCTCTTTTATATTTGCAGAGCTTCTCTTGTAGCAGTTAACCTTTTTTTTTATAAAAAAAGCTTTATCTTACGTTTAGTTTAGCTTGCACAAATGTACAACTGAATGATTACTTGACATGTCACCAAATTTAAGCATAAATGAAATTCTCTAGAGCACCCAAATACAGATGTTTCCAAGCAGTTGGGGCCATTTCACACATTGCATGGAGGCAACTGTGGGTTTTCCATGGGATGCGCTTGACAACTGGTGCAAATCCCAGCTCTCTAGTGTGGATCTGAATGGGGTGTGCTTTTTACACCCACACATTTCATTTTTCGATGTGTGCTTCTATCGAAGGTGCGTATCTTAAAAACAACAATGTAATGCTTGAAGTGGCCTTTGGTTTTCATTGCAAAACCATAGAATAGTGGGTCTGCAGTATCTGGCCACTTCAAAAAGGCAATTATATATGGAAAACCCTTCTAGGTAAGAAGTATAAACACTAAGTGTACATCATCTCATGTACACAAACACAGGTTTTGCCTGTTACACTTGTGTTTGTCCATACATTTCTTAAGCTAAATATAGATTATTCACAAGATGCATTCATTCAAAGGCTTTTTGGCACCTTGGAATGAAATGCAATTCATTTTTTTTTATTTTTGCTTTCTTTTATTATATAAAAGAGTCATAAGTTATTGTGCATTATATTTGAAGTTTGACATAATAGCCTGTCATTTTTGAAGTGGACCTAAGATCAGGTGATGTTTCTGGATATAATTGGTTAGCTATTTGCCATGTGTGGCAGTGGTAAAGGGCATTATTTATACCCTTCCTCAGCGCCTGGCAAAACAATTGCATTTTTATTTTTGCACTAATGAGTTTGCAAGGAATGGATTGAATAGATGCTACAGAATCAGTGGTTAAAAAACGGTTTTGAAATACTGTTCCAGACATCTTTTATGGTAGATGGCTAGGCTACAATCCTCTAATGTCCTTCCTGGGAGTCCAACAGAACTTGGTGAGTTTTACTTTTGAGGGATCATATATAGGATTGCACTGTAAATTGAGTTAATTTTTCAGTATTGTCCACCTGCAAGACAAGTAATCCATATAGAAACATTTGCCTGGTATCCTATTTTGTGTAATTTTTCTTTCAGAGAAGAACAGAGAGGAAAGAAAGCGTGCATCAGGCCTCTGCATAGATAAGATTCACATGTCGAGTGCCCACTGTATTTGAGATATTGGCGAAAGTTGTGTAGCTCACAAGGATTGCTGCTTGTAAGTGTCTGAACCTGGCCAGATTCTTTTTACCAAAGAGGTTGAAGGAACATGTTGCTGCTTATAATCTAAACTAAAACAATTGAACCAAAGTATCTTCAGCATAAGCTATTTGGGTATAATATGCAATGCCAGAGATCACGAAAATGTATATAATTTAGCAGCAGTTACTCATAATTTTTTTAATGCAGTGTAGTCTCAATATACAGAATTGTCCAAAGTCTGTCTACTTCAACACCAGAAGATCTATATACACCAGAAAGCTATTGAAAGGAGTTTATTTAGACTCCCAGAGAGCACTTTAAATGGGCTAGTTTGGAAAACTCTCATTAGGCTGGGGCTGAGGAGAACACATAAATGTATAGGAGCCAGCATCAAATTTGAAGTTTCCGGGCATTTAGGATTATCCAACTTTGCATTAATTGTATCAAATGTGCTTTCAAATGTCAGATTTCCAATGTGGAATTTCTTTTTGCTCTGAACATGTAAGTACTTTTCACTAATGTTAAATGTAAGCATGTTATAACTGTTGGGTTTGTGTGTGGGTCTGTATTACTGAATATGCAAACTTTTGGTTTATGAACTGCGCTAAAACTAGCTGCTTACATTAAAATGGAAAAAAAGTAACCAGCATGAAATTGTGCCCAAGTGTACTTTCCCTGCTTTTTCACGCTCCGTCAATTTATGTTAAATTCTACAATGGTTGGGTTTTTCCCCCTGTTGGTGAATGTGTGTTTAGTGTGAATTCCTTCAAAACGATTCAAATCAGGGACTTGGTTTTTGTACTACAAGAAACATGTTAAAAGTGTCATTCACGTTCAGTGGAAATAATTGCACTTAATTTTTGTAGGAATTTGTTGCTATTTTACTTGCTGCAGTACCCTTCTTGTGCTTAGCCCAGTGGCTCACAAACTGTGGGGACAGGGCCCCCTGGTGGTGGGAGGGCATATTTCATGGAGGGGGGAGGATCCTGCAGAATGCAGAGCAACAGACAGGTCTTCTTCCAGGTAACAGGTTTTAGCATCTCAGCTGCTGCCAAAGCTGTCATGCAAACTCTGGAAGCTACAGAGAGATTGGAAACATAGGAATGCTTCTGGCCATAGCAACTGCTCTGCCTCCTTTCCTGGCTGGCTAACTTTTATGTGTGAGTCTTGAGATGCCTTGTTTAGTTCTCTAATAATGGACCAGTGCCCTGACCAAAAATCCTTTTTATTTTATTTTATTGAAAATACTCATGCACCACCTTTCTGCTATCTCCAACTCTCCCCACCCCTCCAGGTAGCTTTCAGTCACACTTAAAAACAGCTGTCATAATAAATAAAATGGACGCGGGTGGCGCTGTGGTCTAAACCACAGAGCCTAGGGCTTGCTGATCAGAAGGTTGGTGGTTTGAATCCCCACGACAGGGTGAGCTCCCGTTGCTCAGTCCCTGCTCCTGCCAAGCTAGCAGTTTGAAAGCACATCAAGTGCAAGTAGATAAATAGGTATTGCTCTGGCGGGAAGGTAAACGGCGTTTCCGTGCGCTGCTCTGGTTCGCCAGAAGCAGCTTAGTCATGCTGGCCACATGACCCGGAAGCTGTCTGTGGACAAACGCTGGCTCCCTCATCCAGTAAAGCGAGATGAGCGTCGCAACCCCAGAGTTGTCCGTGACTGGACTTAACAGTCAGGGGTCCCTTTACCTTTAATAAACATAAAACGGTGAATATAAAGCTAAAAAAGTCCAAACAGCCAATAAAATTAATAAATAATGTCACCAAACATCTCAAATGGTGCCAAAAGCCCTGGTGAATCAAAAGAGTTTTAACAAGCACCCGAAAATCAGTTGTGTGGGTACCTGACAGCTTTTTCTGGAGAAAGAAACCTGATTGACGCATGAAATCAGACATTAGTAGGGGAAAGTAGGAGAGCTCAGCAGTTGCAGCTGTATGCAAAGATAGCATTTGCTTTGCTGTGGGATGTGTGTGTGCACTCAAAGGTCGGGATTTAGAAGGGGGGGCCCGTGTCCAGAAAGTTTGAGAAACACTGGCTTAGCTGTATACAAGCCCAGTTGCGTTTTGATTGACTTTATTTCTGGTGCTGCACTGTAAATTTTGAATAACAAGAAAACGATTAAGGCAGTGCTCAGAAGGCTGTCCCATCTTGTGAGAAGGAATCTAAAGTCGAGGCCTCTTCTGTACATGCAGTGCTTCAAAGTTGGTTTTGGTCTGCTATGTACACTTTTTTTCCTACAAGCAGTTAATGTTTTCTTCTGTGGTCTTGAAGCAGATCACACCTCACCTTGTTAATCAGGACAAATTGGGCATTACTGTTTAGTCTCCAGTAACTTAGGGGCCAGGGTGAATGTGTTCCTTCTGGAACAATAAACCATTAGCAAAACTTTTCCTCGGATTTTTGGAAGGAGGTTTGCTGCTCCCTCTCTCTGTGCTGTGTCAGAAAGAGGTAGAAACAAGTGTGACCTAACTCCTGAGAAGTCTTTAAGAATACCATAAAGTAGGAAGTCTCACTGAACTGCAGATACCGTATTTAAAAAACAAAACAGAATTTGAGGCTAATGTCACATTCTGTTGATTCTTTTTGATAAATATGTACAATATGCACAATGGTGTTTTTTAAAAAATGCAGACCTACTTTGGCTTCTTGCTGCAGGTAAGAATTTGGGCTCAGATTAATAGAAACCCCTTCATTTCTGCAGAGATCTGATTCCTTCCCCTATAAAGTTAATGTTGCTTTAGAAGTGTGGAATCATCATTCCTTCAGATAAGTTAAGTATGGATAATAGGTCTGGCAAAAGCTGACTTCCCTGCCCCACTTCTTCCTGTTGGTAGTCCCCTCCCAATCAATAACTTTTTTGGGGGAGGGATGCTACCATCGGTGGGAGGGAGGAAGTTCTGCCAGTCTGCTTATGCAAGTTTAACTCTGTTTATAACATGATGGGTTTTTAACAGCATCGTGCCTGGTGTTTGAACTAGATTGGTACAGTTTTACCACATGGGAATTGCAATCTCAGGCTGGTTTAGAGGTGTGTAAGATGTGCATTATTGTGGATGAACTGTGATCTTTATTGTACATGATGTCAGAAAAGGGGATTTTACACTGTTGCATTGGAATGCTAGCCTTATGAAAGCATAATTGCTAAAGGACAATGCATTTTTTCCCCTATCTATAAAAGCAAAACTTCAGAACATGCACTCACTCACCCACCCAGACTATGCAGTTCTATTGTGAAGTTCTGGCAATAACGTCGTTATGAAATCGTCAGCAGCTCTGATAAGCTACTTATGCATTGAAACTCATTTCCTAATAAACAAATAAATGAAAATAACTAAAGTTGTTTGAACCTCTATCACAACGACAATTTTACTACCAGTATGCTTTATTCAAGTGTGCAGGTAGATGCAGTAATTGTGGTTTTTATATTGCTCCTGTATTTCTTTATTTATTTTTCTTTTGGTCAAAGGTAAATTTTGAATGGTGACATTTTCCTCTTTCTCCATTTCATAGCTACAGCTTGTATTAAGTCTAAACTTTTGCCAGACATGGCATTGGCCTCCAAGCAATATCATGGATTGCATTGCTCTTTCTTTTTGAATACATAGTTCCATCTAGCACATTTTTAAAAGTCTATTCAAACCACACATACATTGTGTTATTTCCGTAGTGCAGATTTGGGAAAGGATGGCATGGAGGGATTTCCAAAGACTACCAAGTTCATGATGTTAGATGGATTCCAAACTTAATTCCTAGTTCATCACTCTCTGAGACAGTATACTATACTAGCACAGTATGGAAGCTAGGCTCTAGGATGGGGAAGTATTTTGCGGGAGGAGATTTCCATTCCATGAATAGTAGAATTGTGGGCAAGGCCACCTAATGATTTGGTGACTGAGGTGAGCTTCAAGCTAAGGCCTTTTTGGCTCACATTCTCAGTCGCTCCTTTCTGGCAGTGTTTTATGCCAAAATGACATTGGTAGAGAGAGAGCCACTTTATTGTGTACAGTATAAACAATAAAAATATCAAAACACAACTTTGGAGAGAGAATTCTTACCGCGTTGTAGTAATTGTCCAAGATTACATTGGTGTGAAGACCTTAACACAGTAGCAGAGTGGCTTGAGAGTTCACGGTATTATTTAATAGGGTAATTAAAAGTTGGATAATCGCATGGTTGTGGGTAGAGAGGGCATTTTGCTCTGCTACCGCTACCATCGGCAGCAGCTGAACTTTACAATTGGTAGGTGATACTTAGTGATTCCATCTTGACGCAGGAACTTCTTGACAATAAGCAACTGGTCCTTTCGTTCAGCATCTTTCTGTTTACTTCATGCCATTTTTAACAAGTTCATTTAATCAACTTTTGTTGCCTGGATGTATTAAGGTGCATAACAAATTTTAAAACAAAGTGATCTCTAGCCCTTACAAATTTGGGATCTGATCGTAAAACGCCGTATTTCCTGAAAATTAATCAAGTTATTGCTAACAGGTTTTCTGAATGGTAGAGCTGCTGCTGTTGCTGTCCCTTTTAAGTTAAGCAGAGCCTGCAATCCTCATCATGAAAAAGCCCCACTGAACCCAATAAAACTATTTTGCAGCGAACATACAAAGGATTTCATTGCAAAATAAGTGTGAGGTGATGCACTGATTGAGCCCGCTATTTCTGTTTGGAAGAATTAACTTTAGTAGCTGGCCTACTTTGACTGCCAAAGTGATCTAGGAAAAAATAATATCCTGCTTTATCATTAACAACCGATTAGGAGCCCTACTCATAAAAATAAACTATGGGGCAGCAGATGCATTAACTGCTTTGCTCAGTACGAGATGACGGAAGAGCTGGTGACTGGTGTACATGGCTGCCAAGTTGGTAGAGCCAACTTAAAAGATGCTGGAAAATGAACATAAGAATAGCACTGCAAGATCAGGCCAAAGGCCTGTCTGTTCTCACAGTGGCCACCCATAGATCCCTGTGGAAAAGCCCACAAGCAGGACTTGAGGGCAACGGTGCTCCCTGCAGTTTCCAGCAACTGGTATTATTTATAAAATTTACATTTCAGGATCACAGGGCGCTTTACAGTAAAAACAAAAAACAAACCCACAAAATACGTAACATCCTCCCACCATTCCTCTTCCGTGAATTCCTCTAATCCCCGCTTCAAAGCCAACTGAACTTTGCCACAAGCTGACTGGGATGGCTTTAAAAGGGACCGAGCATATTTATGGAGGAAAATAGGGCTATCGATCTTGGCTAGCCATGAATGCCAGTTTCTGGGAGAGTGCTGTTGTGTTCATGGCAGAAGCAGCTGCCAATTGGTACTAGTAGGGCAAGTGGCATTTGACCCTTGAGACAGAACACAAAGCGTTGTGGCATGTAGCCATTAATTTCTCTTATTTCTCAAGTTGGGAGCAACCATTACATCTTGTGGGAGCCATTTCCTTGAGCTGTGTAAAAAAAAATACTTCTCCCGAATCTCCTAAGAGTCGGCTTTGCTGTATGGCCCTGAATTCTCATATTGCTGAGGGAAGTAGACAAATGTTCTATCTACTCTTCCCCATGCCATGCTTCAGCCTTTCCATAAATGCACTTGCAAGTGGAGGTGGGCGTTCAGTCTGCAGGCAGGTATACAAGATAGTAGGAACTTGAGACCACTGTGTTTCCCTGATTATTGGCTGGTTTTCTATTCGTTGGAGGCAGAGGCAGCGAAAAGTCTATGCCATCATCAATAACAATGGTCAATCAGCTTCTCTAGTGCACTTCCTGATTGGTTTATCTGCAAGTGCTTCAGTTTGATATTATATATAGTGAGAGCTGGACCATAAAGAAGGCTGATCGCCGAAGAATTGATGCTTTTGAATTTTGGTGCTGGAGGAGACTCTGGAGAGTCCCATGGAGTGCAAGAAGATCAAACCTATCCATTCTGAAGGAAATCAGCCCTGAGTGCTCACTGGAAGGACAGATCCTGAAGCTGAGGCTCCAATACTTTTGCCATCTCATGAGAAGACCCCCTGGAAAAGACCCTGTTGTTGGGAAAGATTGAGGGCACAAGGAGAAGGGGACAACAGAGGATGAGATGGTTGGACAGTGTTCTCGAAGCTACCAGCATGAGTTTGACCAAACTGCGGGAGGCAGTGGAAGACAGGAGTGCCTGGCGTGCTCTGGTCCATGGGGTCACGAAGAGTCGGACATGACTAAAAGACTAAACAACAACAACAACACACACCTATCATAATTTGCAACATACCTCCTGTCTTTCTGGCAATGGTGCATATTCCACCTTCATTTTTCTCCCTCAGGAGCTGCTGCTTTAAAAAAAAAATCCTCACTTTTCACCATAATTGGGGAAGGAATACATATTTTACCCCAAGGTCAAGATTAGCTAGCAATCAGTGGGTGGGTTGGCCTTAATTATGGAATATATTCCTGAGTAATGTGCTTTGCAGCACATTCACTATGGCACAAATCTGTCGCTTCTGCTTTCTGTGGCCTGAAGTGTCGACTCGATTTAGGGAGAGGCATGAATTATGCACTTTGCAGAAGCAAGGAGATGCGGGCTTGGATCTTTTTAGCTTTCTCGTGCAAAACCATTTGAACTTCGATTTTTTACTTTTGTAATTTAGATAGTTATAAACTCATTTTGCTAATGGCTGCTTCAAGTCCTAGATTATGTAAGTAAGCATTACTTTTACTTCTTCACAAAACAATGTGATTGTGATTGTTATTTGGGAGGGGGGGGAGGTACTGCCAGGGAAAATTCAGTCTGCCTTAAAGCATCCTGGTTTATTGTTTCTAGAAGGTTAACCCAAATTTGTCTTAGTTTCCAAGTTTAAAGCTGCAAAGTATGGTATTCTGCCGATCTCACTCACGAGGGATAAATAACAACAATATAACCTCTCCTTGTGCCTAAATCCATTCCTACAAAGAGCACATTCCAGCAAGGCAAAAACACGGGGGTTGAAGCAGGCGCCAGTGACGTTGTGGCCTTGGGAAGGAGATGTTTCATGGAGATAATTCTGAAGGCCAGACAGAGAAATCTGCAGGCTTGGGGTTCCCCATCCCTGAAGTCCAGAATATCTACACATTTCATGCGAGATCATCTGCCGAAACTACACATGCTTTTGTAGCCTCTACGTAGTTTGGTTTTTCAGTATGCTTCATTTCAAAAAGAAGAAGCTTTCATCTTTGGTCTCTCCCCCGCACCCTAACCCAGCCTTAGACAAAGATTGCAGTGTTCCTTCAAAGTCTGAACATGAATCTACATCTGGAAACACTTAACTGCAGTTTAAAAAAAAAAAAGAGCCTTATTCCAGAGAGTCAACATTGAAAATGTGCTTGGTGCTTAAAATGCAAACTAATAAACTGAGATTTCCAGTTAGCCTCCTTGAGCAGAGTTGCAAGCCAGGAGCTTTCTAGGGAGGTGGGTACAAAGTCTGCCTTGAAAGCCAAACCACTCCAAGCTACTTCCTCGGGAGACTAATAACCTGCCGTTGATTAAAACTGAATGTCTGGCAATAACTTTATTCTCGTCCTAATAGAAAGCAAATAATGTGCTGTTTTAAGCCGGTCTGAGAGATATGTCTATCATCAGAAAGTAAACTTTGACCTTTAGGATGCACGGTGACTTTTTGTGCCTTAGTGGTCAGTTTCTGCCCTGGTCACTGACACCGCATAACATTTTTCACAGTGCAGAAACAGGCATTTGAGTTGAACCAAAAGGGTGCTGATTACAAGAGACTAGTTTCATCCCAGCAGGCTTGCAGCTGGATGACCCGAGTTCAAATCCTGAAACGTCCCGTAAGCGAGTGGACAGTGTGCAGGTTGTCAGCTTTCAGCCTCTCTTCCCACTTGACACCATTCTCCAAGGAACTTGGCAAGCTTTTCCCTAGATGGCTGAGAACTCCCCACCATAATAATAATAATAATAATAATAATAATAATCTATTTATATCCCGCCCTCCCCAGCCAAAGCCGGGCTCAGAGCGGCTAACAACAGTAAAATAATACAGCATTCTAAAATCAATTCATTTTAAAATCAGTTCAAATCAAATTAATGGCAACCATTGGGCTAGAGGATTGCCAAGAGGGGGTCAGGCTGTGCCTTGGCCAAAGGCCTGGTGGAACAGCTCTGTCTTGCAGGCCCTGCGGAAAGTTGTCAAGTCCCGCAGGGCCCTAGTCTCTTGTGGCAAAGCGTTCCACCAGATCAGAGCCACAGCCGAAAAAGCCCTGGCTCTGGTTGAGGCCAGCCTAACTTCCCTGTGGCCCGGGACCTCCAAG